TGTATGAACAACCACACATGATGAATGTACAAACTCCTCCTATTTTATGATCTCTATATGAAGACAGATTAAAAGTTGGCGACTCAATGAAAGCTAACAGGAGGATTTTATAAAGCTGGTTTACTCACCAGGCAGGGACTTGGACGCTTCTCAGACACGATGCTCACGACACCAAATAAAATAAACTAAAGAGAGAAGAGACAAAACATTTAAACTTCCATTTTTCACACAACTCTGATACCCATAAATCACTACTAATATCTTCTACTTTACTGTAATATTAGTCAATCCAAAGATGCAAGGGGAACACTTGAGTAAGCATGTTGTTCATTTCAATGTTTTATATGCATTCAACTTTTAAGTCAATCATCTGAACAATCCTGGAGTCACCTTGTCCTCTGATCTTAAAGGTTCTTCTTCTCCTGCATGCTACAAATCACTTTGTTGCTTGGAGGACTGTCTCCTTACATGAGGCGCAGATAGCCTAGCTGTTTGGTTGCTCCCCATGTAAGGAGGATACAGCTTCTTTCACCATCTGCTTTCAACAGGTTTAAGATTCAGGATTCATCTCTCAGACAGTAAAACAACTCTCTATACTTTGACCTTTACTCGAGGTCGGAGACAGGGTCGATTGACTGGCCAAAGGATGTAGTGTTTGTTTATCTCAGGCACTTGTAGCTTATAGGTAAATGCTAATGTCAGCATGCCAACGCGCTCACAGTTACATTGCAAAGCAGGTCCTGTCCTGTAGGAAGAAAACCGGCAGCTGAATCTCCAACAGAGCAGCCCCAATAAAGTTACTTTAACTTTACTTTAGTTTTGTAAGGGCTTTGGGATGCACATATTTAAATACACACAAAAAAACAACAACATAAAAAACAAGTAGTGAGTTTGCTTACCAGTCCTCCCATCCAAAAGGGATACTTGTATTCATCCATTTGCGACCAAGAGCCAGACCCAGAGCAGAGGATCGCTGCGAGGCCGATGTTCAGCAAACCAATCATGATTTGCAGAGCCTGATGGGGGAGCAAACACAGTATGAGCGCCACACACCTGTACAGTTTAAAAGTAGTTACCAGGTGTCAAGATTAAAGTCATCTGGAGAACAACACGGAGGGGGGGGGCAGAGAATCCTGTTAGAGGACCTCTGTCTCATAGTTTCATTGTTTACTCAATGTTCCTATCATATATAAAACAGAACATTACCTGAAGACCCGAGACAGGTACAGAGCCCAGACAGTGTCATGAAAACACTCTGCAAATGAGACTTTGTCCTCATAGCTCTTTTCAGATGTTTTTTTTTAACTCAGCTCAGCGATCATCACAGTTTTATACATTTGTATTGATTCTGTGACAGCGTAATGTTGGTGTCCCAGTCTGAGACACACACAGCGCTGCGCTCCCCTGCTGGCTCCGCTGAAACCGGCTCGCCTCTGTTACTACCACTAAAGACGGTGGGATCACTTCATCCCCCCATTACACTCTGCAACACTCAGATTGAAGGTGAAACATCACAGGGGAGTAAATAGTCAGAATTAAATCAGAACTGAGTGGGTGAAGGAAAACGTATGTGTGTACATTTCATAGAGATACTTCAAACATGAGCTTGTTACTTACCCCCAGGACTGACTGAGATGAGCCCTGGAGCTTCTTCAGATGCTGGGACACAGAGCAGCATATAGGGCTGTAACAAAGGCCTTTGAGGATTTGGCATATTGGAGGTAAAACACTTTGGGGGTCCGAGGTCAAAGTGAGCACAGTGACCCCTTCAGCCTTGGTCATGGTCACAGACATCCTGCCTGCTCCGACAGACTGAAAACACAAGAGAGTAACTGCACAATCAGTTTGCTGTTTCTTATTCCTTAAGTTTTAAAATAGTTACAAGCTGAATCTAAATGTCAAAGTAGTCCTCATAATCAGTTTTGCTGACTGACTGACCTTTTCTTTTGGCTGACATTTATCGTCTCTTCTATTCCCTCTGACCAAAGTTTCACACAGTCAGTGAACTTTTTACACTTTGTCATTGAACCTTGAAGTGATTTTATGAACCTGTAAGTTCTTAGTCTGTGTTGCATAAGGTGACACTAACTTCTCCACATCCGGATTGAAAGTTGTCAGGAGTATATACAAGCATAGTCTAAAGCCCTCTAATAAAAGCTGACACTTGTACAAATGAAGTTGATACCTCCTGGCCTTACAGGAACTCCTGGAAACTTTAGGTTTTTGGACTTCGGTAAAGTTAGAAATATATTCACAGATTCGGCTTTCCCGGATCAATAACTCATCAGCGGAACATTTCTTTTACAAAACAGACACCTCTCTGCAATCACAACAAGATAGACTGGGAGCTACATTCATATTTTCCTCAAAACGGGCCGTCCTCCGCGCTGGGGAACTTGCATTGGCCTCTGCGCAGAGCCGGCTGGTGCTCGAATGCGCAGGGACCGTCTGCAAATTGCAATACCGAAAAAAAATTATACAGAAATATTCAATAACTTCACCCAGGAGAGGTGTAGTGTCATGAAAATCATTTTACACATATGTGATCTCATGTTTCATACTACATTTCTTAGATTGGAAAATAATACTTTTAAAAAACCTTTGAGGATTTTTTAATTGCCTATAAATAGCCCAATGTTCAATAAAATCCCCTTTTGTAAGGTGTAGGGTAAAACAATAATCCCATTATGAATAAATGTCCTCCTGCTCTATAAACTACATCACATTGCTTTGGATAAAGGGCTTTCATGTAATTTCAGTGATTTTTTTGTCATGAATATATTTCTAACTTTACCAAAGCGGTTTACGGTACATATTCAAAGACGGCCATTGTGAACATCCTGTCTCAAAAAGATACTTTGAAACCTGGTTGTAAATGTATTTATCTGTGTTTGCCATTGCTCTTTATCATATGAGTATTATGATACAACTTCATTGTACTTCATGTATATTGTATACTATGCTGTATTATTTAATTGTATATCTGGTTTTAGTATTTGTATATATTTCTGATATTAGGCATAGACAGGCTTGCTCCAACAGCATTTCGTTGTACTTGTAATCCTAAACAGTGACAATAAAGATATCTCATCTCATCTTAAACAAGTGTGCCAGGGGGTATTGGGCGCCGATTATAAAGTTGCGCACACTACAAATAACAACAAATCTTAGCTAAATATTTAGAAATCAAAGCTAAATATTTAGTTTATATTCTATATATTTAGCTTTGATTATAAATATTTACAATCTTAGCTAAATATATAGGATCAAAACTAAATATTTAGAAACGTAGCTAAATATTTAGAATCAGGACATGTATTTTTAACATTTATATATAACATTTAACATTTAGATAAAACATTCAACATTTATATTTGCCTTTGAAATTGTCTTACATTTTTATTCACAAAAGTACATTTGAAAATGTTCACAAATATTTATCTAAATGTGAATAAAAAGTGATGTTTTAGGGCTAAATGTGGAGAAATGTTGTTGTTATTTGTAGTGTGCGCAACTTTACAATCTGCGCCCCTTACAGGGGTTTTGTTCTTTATTTCTTGTGGATCATTGTTGAGGACAGCCAGTCCATGTGCTTAACTGTCATTGCAAACATAATTTTCACAAGCCATTTGTTTACATTATAGGCTAGTTGTTAACTGTGTTTTTTTTCTTGTCGCCACTCTTTTCTTTTCTTGCTTAAATCTAGAAAACGATGTTACATTTTACTTCCGCACCCTTCCTACACTGAGCCCTATTTGAGAAGTTTTTTTTTCAAAAACTACGAGCATATTTTTCACAACACAAAAAAGAGCTAATCATTAAACTCTCGATGTGATTTAATAACTGTAATCCAGTTTAAAGCATTCAGTACTCACATAAAGGTTTTTTGGATGAAGTTTTTTGGAAGTTGATGAAGTCTGTCTCACTCGATGAGCTGGATTTACTTTTATTAAGTAAACAAGACACACCTACGTATTGGTATTATCCCATGATATCTTTTTCTAACTAGAGTGCTGCTGTCTCAGTAGCGTTGTGCTCAGCGCTGCCTCTGGCGGTCGGAGGCTGTACTGCATTAGCATATCCTCTTAGTTTAATTCTGACCTTTAAAACATTTCAGGCACAAACAATGTTCATTGCGAAAATAGCTAGTAACATTGCTTTGGCAAAAAATCACAATGTTTTTAAACGATTCTACGTCATTGTTATTGTAATGTGGCGTCCAGCCACGAGGGGCAGCACTGAGCGCCTTTGCCTACGAGTAGGCCAGCAGACTTTCTTTTTTTCTTTTTTTTTATAAAGGGAGGAGAAACGAATCATTTTCCAGAAGTACTTCCCCATCTGGGAAATGTGTAGAAAATTCGTCCATTAATCAAGAAGACAAAAGTGACTTTCTCTTTATGCGATTCTTACATCTACATCATCAGCATGACGCAGGGCTGAAGGATGAATAAAGTCAAAGTCATCTTTATTGTCAACTTGTGCCATACGTATAATGGACATAAAATGTCTTTGAGAAGTCAATTTATTCCAAGTGCAATAAACATCCTTAATCTCACTATATGACTGATGAGATCTAAACCGTGATTGAATGTGTAAGTGTAGCTGCTCTGCTTGTCTGTGTTACTGACTGCCTGAATGTTTTTGTGCTGTTTTATGCATTTGGAGAGCCTAAAAAAAGATGTGCATTCAAAATAAATGTGCATAGAGTAGAATAGAGGAGAGGTTTATCACAGATTCAGCCTGTAAGGTGCACTGAATGAGTGTGCATTTTTCTGAATTACAACACATTGTAACAAACACAAGAAATATACACTACAGGTAATAACACTGCTTAAACATACACCCTTTATAACAATGTAAAAAGAGACAATGAAACAACAGACTGTTTTGAGACTTATTGCATTTAAACTATTGCACACGACAGTTTTTTCACCTGTAGCTACGTTTGCACATTAATAGTTCTGAACATATATTATCTCACATTACGCTGTTGCACTTATTTGGTTCATGGTAATAGTTTCTATGTTGTTGCACTTATTATCCATCATGTTGGTCAGATGGGTGATGTTCTACTTTCCACCTTATGTCATGTACTTTGAGTCTGATGTTGGCTGGAAAGAAGTGGACGTAGACCTGAGATGAGAGTCCTAAGAAAGAGAATGAGACAGAGAGTGAAAACTCAGATGAAGACCTCGATGAGGTGGACAAAGATCCAGAGCCAGATTAAGTGTACCGTCATCTGCACCATCATCTGGTGCCATGTGCAACACTGCATTTTATATATTGCACTTTACAACATGAACAATTTTAGTTTGAAATGTTCCATATTTTGTCCATTTTCAGGTTTGTACTTTTTTGGGGTGTCTACTATTAAAAGTTTTCATGCTTTATAATGTTCAAAAACCTTTATTTTTCTCATCCTGTCCATTGATGCAGCAGTATTATTAACCAGCTAGTCATATTCTCCATTTTCTGTCTCTTTAACACCTTCTTCCAGGTCCAGTCTCCTCATTAGTCTACTGAATGAAAGAGTTGTATTGAAGTTTGCTCTCATTTCTAACAGGTCTACAGACATTATATTGTAGTAGTGTTAGCGTGCTATACTGTTATCAATGTTTAATTGCACTTAATTATGTTAATTAGGCGACTTATTTGATAACACGTGCTGTATTCCATGTAGTAGGGAGACCTCTGCTGGACATTTTGAGGAAGTGTGTTTATCATGTATAAATGCCTTGAACTTCAGTTTATTTTAAGTGAGCTATTCTTGGCTGTGAGGGTGGTACACTACGAATGTTGGGAGGTACCAGCCCTCTTCTTCGTCTTTCAATGGTGGAGCCAACTCTGCATGATTCTTTTCGAAAATGTGGTGCATGAAGGTGAAAAAGTGCTTCTTCATCTCAGCCTTTCTTTCAAAGGAACGACAAAGAGAGTTGAATCAATTCACTGCTTGCTCCCCGTTGTTCGGCAGATGTGGTCTTGACGTGCGGAAGGGAAGCGGAGCAACCCAGCTGTTCCCGTCATCAATGAACATCTCCTTATCCATTAGTTCAATGAACTGCTTGTCCTCAACAGAAGGAGCAACCTTGTTGTCATCTTTGGTGTGTTGGAAGATCTTACTTCCCAGAGAGTCTTCTTCAGTGCATCGAGCCGGAGCATGAATGAGGTGTGAACTTTGGATGTTGTGGAGACTATGAGACTGTACACTTTTCACTATAGGTTTCTTCTTTAAGGGTCAGATGATTTGGACAGGGCTCAAAGAAGGAGTGGCGCCCATTCTCGAGGATGTAAGTGCAGTAGACATTTACATCCTTAGGTTTGTGAGCTGCACCTAGACAAGCTTCACCGATGATGACCCAGCCGAGATCTAAACGTTGGGCGTAAGGTGCGTTGTTTGGTCCATTACACTGATCTCTCACCTTGTGTACCTGTAGGAGCACGTCCTGTGCTGAGGAGCAGTAATGATCTCTGCTACTTCTGGTGTAGGTATTTCTGACCTGTCAGTAGGTATGTAGTTGCACTCTATGAGAGTCGGAAGATTTATACTCAGACTTCCATCCAGAGGTTTTGCTATGAAGCCTGTTGCTCTCCTCCCAGACATCTCAGTGAGACCCGCACACGTCCGGAGAGTGTAGAAAGCTTCTGTGCCTTTAAGGTCGAAGAGGTCAAAGAACTCAGATCTGGCCAGGGATCTGTTGCTCTGGTCATCCAGAATAGCATAGAGTCTCACAGACCTTTTTGCTTGTTTACTAGGATGCATTGTGATGAGGCAGATCTTAGAACATGAGTGTGGACCGTTACCTGATCCGCAGACCTCTGTACACTTTGAGTTCACTGAAGGTGATGACTCCCCATCCTCCTCCCCGCCGTTCTCTGACTTAGGGTTCTGGCCAGCCCATGGAGCAGGTCCAGGGTGAAGAGCTGCCATATGCTTGTCGCTGTTACATTCCTTACACTGAACTGTAATTCTACAATCCTTGGCAAAGTGTTTCCTTGAAGAACAACATCTGAAACATATGCCAGTCTGTTGGAGAAACTTCTTGCGTTCTTCCATGGTTTTGGTTCT